TTTCACGAATATGTTTAGTTGCAGCAACTGTAGGTGGAACCGATATATACATAGGTGTATTATCTTTTTCATTTGACAGTGCATGGGAAATATATCCTTTAAGTATCATTGCCCTGTCTTCTTCGTCTTCCATGGATATGTTCACTAGAAATTTATCCATATGTGTAGTGATTTATCTTTTTATCTGTCGTAAGATACTGTCTCGTATTGTGATTACCAAGTACACAGAACAGCTATCATCATTTATACAGGTATGTATATCAGAGAACAAAATTTCCCATTCTTTAAGTTTTTTGTAATCAACGTTAACTTTTCCAAAAATATCGTCGAACAATATTATCACGTCCTCTTTGGGATTAACAACCATCTCCCAATGACGTGGGAATCTTAATATGACCGGTTTTTTCGGCTTGTTAAATTGGTCTCTCACTTGGAATATCGCAGTAACAGTTCTGTTCCAAAAACGTTTTTCCGCATCCATGTCCTGACGATAACACTACCTTCCGATGATATTCAATTTTTCGTATAGCTTCAAACCATCCACTTGTTTGAACAAATGTGTTCTTGCTTTCGTATTGCATCAAATTAGCTATGGAAGTTTCTTATCAGAAAACAAATATATAAAATATATTATAAATGTCAGCCGAGAATTCATATTGAAATAATTTAATTTTGGAGGTAACACGTCTTCTGATTGGCTAAAAGTATTTTGTCTATCAGCTCATAGACATAATTTTGTCATGTGACCGTTACGTCATCAACGTTTTTTCATGATTTACTCCTTCAAATGGAATTTAGAATTAAATCATAAGAAATGACTGTAATATTTTTTCTGTCTATTCGATTATCCTCAAAATCATGGTGCATACTTTTTAATAACGCGATATGCGGGTTATTCAGTGTGCACCACATTTTTTTGGTTATTTCTTCAAAAACAGAAAAAATATAACAGTCATAACTTAAAAGTTATTTTCTACAATTGCAATAAACCAAAAATGTATGCACGGAAAAGGATCAAGTTGGAACTAAAATGGCCCTAAACTCTAACTTATTACAACGTGGGCTCTTTAAAGTAATCAAATGCTGTAAACAAATGCATGGCAAAACAATTTTGCAAAAATATATGTACACTGGAAGTATATTTTGTGATAATATAAATACTCACAAATGGCCCTTGTGCTGCTATAATCCTAAATTTAAGCGTATGTTCCTATGGTTAAAGGTATACATGATCTTTAAACTAGTCTTGGGTTGGCCTAACATTGTTAAATTGTCCTGATGACGTCTCGGAAAAGTATTACTAAGACGACTTAAACTGATCAATGAGGGACTTTTATTTTATTTCATTTGCGGGAAATTAAGATGGGAAAATAAATCAACCGTTCATCTCTCCTTCTTTTCGGAAACTATGCCATGTATTGCAGTCTCATCAATGGGAATTCATGCTTGTGTGTTATTTCATTTAAATGCTATCGCAAAACGATAAGTTTAATATGTTTTAACCACATTCATTACTCGAGCTCTAAACAATCATTAATATGCATGATATGAGACTATGGAGAACTAAAGTCCCGTTGAAATACAAATTAGAAAACTATACCAATAACAATAACGGTACCAATTTTATTGGAACAGATGCGCGTTTCGACAATTAAATATCTCGTCTCTTTAGTGATGCTCAAGGCAGAATATTTGAAAATCCAAAACTTGTTTTCAAAGATTGAAGAGCTGATAAATCAAGGCAAAGAAGTGTAGCGAAAGCCGGGCAAAGGAATCGGAGCTTTGTATGAGGGGGGACATTCCTTAATTTAAAATAATTTCCAAAATTTTGTAAAGGCAAATTTCTAATACACAATATCCGTATTTTAATGCAAGTACCGACGTACTGGATACTTGGCTGGTGGTTTTTGGGGACTAAATAAAAAAGGACAAAACGTATAGCCAAAGACGGGCAAGGTCTCATAACTTTGCAATTGGGCGATATAATCCTTTATTAAAAATAATTTCCAAATTTTGTAATAGCGGAGTTGATTCACTAACTCATAATTTTGGCCCTAAAAATCTTAATTTTTTTAACTGTGATGATGTTGTGAAAATTATGCGAAAACATATGTTAAAATGTCTGATTGTTTCAGTTATTAAATATTTTTCACCAATTACGGTATTAGTGATGTATTTGTGATGTATTTGTGACGTCATGATGGTAGGTGACTTTGTGAAAGTCTGGTTTTTGGCATAATTTGGTTTAATTTTTGTCAGTTTTCTGAAAACAAATTACAGTGGCGCCACCACTCGCCCACAAATATGTTTGCCGAAATATTTTAAATGTGCCGTATTCTTTACTTTTGTACCAAAATTTTAATGAGCTAGGGGAGGCGTCACATATAAAATTATGAAATATGGTCGAAAAAAATAATGAATTTCTTGACAAACGAACTAAGATAAAATCTATACCTTTTTTATATTGATAACATATGAAGCAGATATACATTTTATGCTTTTCATACTTTCAAAAATTATACATTTAGCAATTTATACACAGTGAATTTACTCGAACAAATGTATTTTAAAAAGTTTACCTTTTTAGGGCCGTTTATTTTGAGTTACTGGCTCTACTCACATAATATCCGTATGTTCGTGCCTGTACCGAAGTACTAGCTACTGGGCTAGTGAATCCCTCGGGGACTAACAGACCACCAGCAGAGGTATTGACCCAATGGTATTAATAACATTAACGCTAACAATTGTACCACACCAGATGCGCATTTCGACAATTAATTATATAATGTCTCTATAATGATGATGATTGTGTATAAGTTTCATAACATTTGTTCAGGCAAACTAAAGTTAGAGAACTGAAACGAAAATTTCAGCAAGTTTTCCATTTCTGAAGGGGCATAACTCGAGAACAGTAAAAGTGACGCCACCCAAGTTCAAACTTGATCTGAACTTTTTTGAGATAAGCATTGTGTATATGTTTCATAACATTTGGTTGATGCAAACGGAATGGAAACTTAATTTAGGACGAACGTACGTACGGACGAACGTACGTACAGACGAATATATCGACGGTAAAAGGTAACCATTAATGCTCCCTCCACCGCAGCGGATACATGAAAAGTAAAGGCGCTTTGCATAAGGGAAATGTATACCTTAATTTAAAATAATTGCTCCAATATGAAACCTATCAAGTTATGTCTACAATGTACATATTTACCAAAAAAAATTTCTATCAACTGACTCTCTGTTTGAGAAATGCCTGAAATATAAAGTGAGTAATTTATTCGCAGATAAATCATCTATTTATTGTGTGTCATTGGCGACTTAACTCAAGTTTCCAGTTAAAATGTTTCTTGTTCTTTTTTTGAAAAAAAAGGAAAAATACATCTGAACTCTAAATAGATTAATACAATTGTTAAAAATAATGTGTTATTGACTAAATTGCGAAAAAGTCAAAGATGATAGACAATCCATTTCCAAAAGAAAACAAAAGTCGAACATGCATATGCTTTCATATTAAGCAGGGTACGTACTTTTAGTATTTCTTTGGAAACTACGAGCATTTTTATTACTGTTTTTTTTTTCAGTAATCTGTTGTATCAGGATACGAAAACAAATTTCAACATGTTAAATAAATCAACTTGTTTGGATAGTACTTTAGTATAACTTCATACTGATATGAGTTCCTCCTATTGGTGTTCTTCCACTGCTGCTAATGCTAACTGCAAAAGTGTACAATGAAAAAAGAAGTGTTAAAAGAAATCACCATTTTTGATAGAATTATGAACGTTAATCTGACATGCTCATACTGAATAAATGTTTGTTACTTCCATTTAAGAGAGATTTAGCAAATGTTTGAAGAACATTTTTTGAACATGAACTACTGAAGTATACTAGTCGTTGAAATAAAATCTTGATTAGCAAACTGTAGAAATATGTTTTCATTTTTATGGTTAAGAAATATTTCAAGCATTTCTAACTAATGAGTTAAAGTTAATCTAAAGAAATTTAGAAAATCTTTCATTATGTTAACTTGAAAAACAACAGTGCTGATATATCATCTTTAATACACTGTTTTGTATAGTTTCTACATATGCCAATGACTTCATTGACCTACTCACTAGACGTTCTTTTATTTGAAGCACAAACACCATATAAATCTTCGGCACCCAATTGTGACAAAGAGTCATTGTCTGTCGTAAAAGGTGACATTGCATCATTAATATCTCCATCGTGTAATGGAAAATTAGACCTTGTAGCGGAATTATCTATACAGAAATATTATATTTCATTGATAAATAAATAAATTTCTACGTTTCACAGCTTCAGAATATAAAGAATTCAGGGTAATTTTATTGTTCATTCACAAACATGAAAAAAGACGGGAAAATAAAAACGTAGTTGTATCAATTAAAATGTTTACATAATGAAAAAAGACGGGAAAATAAAAACGTAAATGTATCAATTAAAATTTTATTTTTACCCATACTTTATCCATACCGTTTGTACCACTAGGCAATTATCGTCAAGATATAACTGTCTTAAAATCTATTTGTACATTCGAAACATACAAATAAAAGCGGTCATACACTGTTATGTTTCATGTAGCAAGAGTTTGTTATAAAGTATCGTTCAATACGTTTAACAGGTACTTGCGAATAAGGGCACATTCTATGTACTTCCGGAAGAAAAAAAAACATTACGTATAGCTTATTTGATAGGTAAACCTTTTCCCTGAAACAGGCTACCTACGGATCGTCCTGAGAGTTGTTGCAATCGTTATAACGTAGAGAACACTGAACACTCCCTATACGTATCGTAGGATCCAACTTCTGCGGATATGAATGTGTATTAATACATCACACAATATAAAAAGAACCCCCTTTAAGGAACAAAACCTCTTACGTATTGTTTTTGAAAATGTTCAAAATATGCAAGTGTCCGACGGCTGTCTTAATCTAAAACAAATGTAAACGGTAAATACCTTCTTTAATTGCCTCCTATTGTCTTCTGTTGGATCGCTTAGTTTTTATAGAGACGGGTTTAGCTCCATATGAAAGAGTTGAATCTGATCTTTTAAGATTGGATAGCAGTGGCATTGGTGCTCTTTTGGTCTTTGATGAAGGCACTTTGACGTTCGGTGAGGCCTCTGCAATGTATACCAATTACTGTAAAACAAAATTAAACGTATATTCCATTATACACCAATGATACATTAAAGAGAAGTGTATTCTTTATAACCAGCATATACGTTTCTTATTTGATACGATGTGCAGGGATATTTTCGCATCATAATATTTCACAAACACAAGTTTAGACAAGTCAAACATATATGTTGGCAGTTTCGGAGGTCTTGAATTAACTAGATATTTTTGAAGATTCGCGTTGCTCAATCTTTGTTCTTTTTTCTCTGTTCTTTATATAAGTTTTTGTTTGTAACTTTTCGCCATGGGGTTATCTGTCGTTATAATATTTGATTGTCGTTTTTGATGTTACTACTTTGTATATAAGTCCTGACGTGGATATGCATACAGTTCCAACACAGAAAAAGAACTCCTCCTCGACAAGAACCAGATACAATGATTAACAACAGTTGTTTACTTATAATCATGTTTAAATAAAAGCATTTGAATGATAATTCCTAAACGTTTGGTTTATAACAAAGAGGCGAAAGTTACCCAATGGACAATCAAATCTCATAATTCGAAGAAACTAACGATATGTTGGCTTGTTTGTCAGGTTTTTGCAAATACAAGAAGCTTACGATATCGAGTCTGACTCTATACAAAGTGACCTTTAAAATGATGACTACAATTATCAACCAGATTCCGGGTAAATTTTGTCCATCATGGCATACATCAAACGACGATACAGGTTTGGTGCTTTTACAAACAATATAGAAATATTTTCAAAGGAACGATTCGTTAACATTCAAATCTTCAAACAGTCAAGAAATGTAACTGTAAACAGATTAATTGATTTAACATAGTTATGTGTCTTCGTTTGCTAGTGGAATATGATCTTTATTTTTTTTTATAGAAATCATGTCAATGAAAAAATCTAGATTTTATAGTAAATACCATATTTACCTTTACCAACATTTTCTGGGTTTGATGAGTTGTTAATCTTCCGGAAAACAACTGAAAAGTTCCCGTATTCTTCATTTGGGTTATCTTCATGGGGTTCGTATTTGTCAACTGGAAGGTATTGAATACTCTTTAAAAGTATATATTTGTTTCTGATCAGCTGTTTAAAATATTCACATTTACATTCTTAATAACTATTCACAATCAGATTATACACTTTATGATGATTTTGAGAAAGTTAACAAAAGTACCGACTACAACTTTCACAGAAATATAGTATACACTAAAAGGCCAGCATATGCCCGTCCACAGGGATGACATGTGTTACCCCCTTTTTATGTACATTTATGGTACTGATTTTAGAGTGATCGACTCATACTGCAGAAACATTAAAACAAACCAAACAACTGTAAATAAATCAAAGGGGCAACTCTAGTTCGCATGTTGGGAGGGAACATACGGCCGTAAATCATAAGTACGGCAACACGTTATACTGCATCAATACACCACAAAGCGACAAACCTTAGAGCCAATATCATTGTTCGCTGATATCATGACAATGTATTTACAAATACATTCCAAAACATATTTAACTTCAAAGTATAACTAAACAAGTAAATTTTTTATGCATTTTGGCTTTTGTTTTAAGAAACGTATCCCCATGGAAACCATATGAAATCGATAGTCCTTACTTAGTACAGGCATTGTTTACTGAAAGTGTTGGGTAAAACTAGGCTTTAATGTTTTGGAAATCTACCACTTGTATACAAGTTATTTTCGTTTCTTTTGCATATGTTTTTTTTTAATGTTCCCATTCTTGGTTGTGCTTAATACACCCTGCACTAAGTTTAAAATATGATAAAACTTAGTCATTAAGGTATCTATTAGTGTTTGTTTGTGGCATATACAGTCTAGAACTAATGCGTAAAAAAGGTTGAATTGGAATGGAAAATCGTTTATGAAACGGGAAAATTTCAAAATACTTATGACGGTTTTTAAATTCAGTAGCTAATTTTAATTAGTTTAAGTTGGAAACAGCTATCTATTGGTTCTTATAAAACTAGATACCTTCATATCTTGACCTTGATTTTGTTCTTCCAGGAGTTTTAAATGGAGGTTCAGGTGCTCTTCTGGTCTTGGTGGAATGTGCTTTTCTGTCAGTGGTTATCGCTGAAATATTTGTTCAGAAAAAAAAAAACAAATAAAAACAATGTTCTGATAGAAGTATTTCTATTACATTTAAAATATCAGAATGATCATAAATAGTATAGTTTCAATGAACATTGATCTTTTTGTAGATTTCCGAATTAACCCCAAGATGACGTGAACTTTAAACATTACTTTGAGCGCAATTTTAGAAATCAGTATGTTTCCCTGCGAAAATTATTCACTATCTGGACAAAACCTATTGGCCAGTGATCACTCAAATGCATCAATTCAATTAATTAGCCTTGTAGTAATTAATTATCTATACACATTTATAAAAGGATATAAAATTCTAAAGGATGCATTATCAAAACGTCCAATGTAACATTTTGTCGTTGTAATAATCTTTACTTTCATGTACGTCTTATTAGACTGCATTTATAGCACATACTATTTCTGTTTAACACAGTCTTCAGTAGAATAAAAGTAAGCTAGCATTATATATAATGCCATTTCACTAAAAAAATCATAGTGTGGTGATTATGTTAAACGCATCTATCCCATCGACCGAACTCGAAATAAAGGATACAACAGATACACTTAAGTATGCCTCATATCTTGACTCACATCTAGAAATTGACAATGAGGGTCATTTGAAAACAAAAACAAATTATTTAAGCTTCCAAATTGTGAACTTTTTATTTCTATTTAGCAACATTCCAGCTGCGCATGCCAGTGTTATATATTTCTCAAAGTTGATACAATATTGCATTTCCTTTAGTTGATTTACTTGATAGAGAATTAATGCTTATAAGGAAGCTATTGAACAAAGAGTTCCAAATAGTAAAGTTGAAATCATCCCTTCGAAAATTTTACGGACTCCATCATGATTTGGTTGACCGTTATGGATTATCTGTTTCACAGATGACACTGGATATGTTTCAATTAACGTACCATTACAGCAATCAATCTTTTTTTCATCGAATGTGACCTATCGAATTAAACTTATTACCGAGATTGTACGAACTTGAGCAACACAATGGTTGCCACATATAATGCATGATCTGCTTACCCTTTTAGATCACCTGCGATCACCCATAGTTTTTATTTTGAACAGGGGTTCGTCTTGGTCTTTGCTCTTCCTTAAGTTTTTATTGTTGTTCTTTGTGCTTTCACTAATTGTCGCATTATCAATCCGGTACTCTTTTCATCGAATGTGACCAACTGAGTTGGACTTTGTACTTACATGAGTAACACGACGGGTGCCAAATGTGGAGCAGAATCTGCTTACTCTTCCTGAGCACCTGAAATCGACCCCCGTTTTTTGTTGGAGTTATCTTGCTCAGTCTTTAGTATTTTTACGGTGTGTCTTTTCGTCGTTTTCCTTTTTTGTTTTTTTTTCCTTATGAGTTGAACCTTCCCTTCGGTATCTTTCGCCTTTCTCTTAGATTCATTTGTAAGCTTTTTTTCTTGCATTAACTGAATATAGTTTTTGCCACACCCTAGTAATGGCTATCAGAACAGCAGATGAATGATTTTCGGAATGACAGGTAGGTACTTATATTTACATTTTTAAATGTGTACAGTACTTCTTTCATATCTTAAAAAATAGATTTTTGTTTCAAGTATTGATAGTGCAAAGGACAAACATATTTACATGTATATAGACTTATGTATTAACAACAAAAAAACATATTATTCATTTTAACAATTCACTCGTTTTTAACCCAAAAAATGTTTTCTGTACAGTAATGAAAGAAGACCCAATAAACTAAACTGGTATTTTTTTATGAGGAAAAGGCAAATGGAAACAAGAGTTCTTGTTGTGGTTTCCAAATGCAGTCAAATGTTGTTTTTAAAGAATATCAAATTTTCAACTAAGGTTAAATTGGAGCCTTGGTGTTCGAGCGGTCTAAGTCTTTCATTTGCTGTATCACTAACCTGAGGTTGTGAGTTCGAACCTGGTACGTGGCAGATGCTTTCGACTTCATTCTTAATTGACTAGGATTAACAGTTATCCTGCCTAATATTTTTTTTTAAACTTAGTCTACTTGAGTTAATAGGGATCATAATAGCAGACGGATTCTTGTCAAATTACTCAAATATGCAGCAAGTGAAATAACAGATTCAAATCTATAATGTCTGTTGGAATGAGATTTTCTTAAATATTCTAATCTGTTTTTTTTTTTTTTTATTAGGTTCAAACGTCAAAGGTGAAATTTGTTAAGGAATGGTATAAAATTTATGCAAGTGTGTTTAAAAATAGGAGACAAAAAATATTAGCTGAAATTATGCGAACAAGCATTTAAAATGCAATTATAAATTGATGTCTTAAATTCCAAGTATTGCCCATAAAAGTGTTTCTGCATACGTCCAATGTTGTCCTTGTAAAGTATAACAACGTGCAAAATGGCATTAATTAATTTTGCCTTTTTTTAAAACCTTCTTCAAGATGTTATTTAGATTTTCACACTTGAACAATCTTTGAGACACAATTCTAAATCGGCTTTAAAACGCAATAGTCTTAATTGACTTCACATGCCTGGAAAATGTGTTCCAATTTTTGATTGCATAAGCACAAAATGATAAGCAATCTATTTGTTAGGTTTTTTAAACAACACAGTTGAAATGGCAGGATTTGTGTTGTATCTATGATTGTATCTATGGTGTTCATTGACTTAACACAAATTGTCTTTGAGATTTTCTGGACACTGTAGACTGTGTGCACATGTACAAATAGCAATTGTTTATCTCTTTAATCAATTTTGTCAGGAAACCGAGGCTTGATAGCTATGGTTTGCACACTCTTGTTCGTGGACGCAATTTGTTAATAAATATAACAGTTTTGTTTTTTGAAATTTCTGTAACTAACCGGCATACTAAGGGGAGCAGGAAATATCAATATAACATTGAACAAGAGCCGTTGTTAGTCCTTTTTTTTGGGGGGGAGTGGGGGTTCAGTTGACAAAAAATGTACGGTATTAAATATAACTCTTGAATTGCCTTTTATAATGATGGAGTTAAATCTGCTCTCCCTCAGAAAAATGTTGGTCTATTTCTAGGCCTTAATGTATAAGCTTAGGGGTGCAACTTTATTCTATGATTGTGAACTCATTTTCTTACTTCTTTAGTTTTTGTTTCGGCCCAAAGATAATACATTCTGTTATGACTAAACACAATGATAGCTTATGTCCAACAATCAGTCTCTACAAGACTCCTATTTATTTCCTAGCTTTGGAAATATACAAATGGCATTTTCATGAGAAAGCAATTATGGAACTGTCATCAGCCTTTAACAAGTGTTTAAAGTCAAATTGGATACTAAAGGACATATCGTGCACACAGTAAAAAAATTACAACGGTCCTAGAAAACTTCTTTGGGGGACTCCACGTACGATATTAAGGAGTTCAGATTCGGTCCAATTAACATTCAAAAACTGTTTCCTTCCTGACAGATATGACTCGAACCATATTATATCTATAACCATATAAATCTTTATTTTCTACAGAATATATTCTAGTCGACAATGTCAAATTTTTTTTGCAGGTCTAACATTACCATTCCTGTAAATAACATGTTTGCGATTTTATGTGATTACACCGTTGGATAATACAAGTAACAATAGAGTACGAACTCCTAAAACCAGACTGGTCGGGAAAACAGATTATTTTTAGCCAAGTGTGTCCATTTGTTTATAGATACCCTTTTTACGAATCTTGGGTAAACTGCAGAGGGTAATAACTGGTCTAGAGTCTCCTATTTCCTTTCTACTATTCTTTTTGAACCAATGTTTCACCTTTCTAGCTTTAATTCATTTAGCACTATTCCAGTTGTAATGGATAGGACTTACTAAATACGTTAATGGTTCAGCCAGAGTTTGTCGTCATCAACAGATAGTTTTACACATAAAAGATGCGGTTTGAAAAACGGTTTCAGAAATAAAATCGCCAAACTGTGACGAAATTTTGACTGTTATCTTACAAAGCATTGTCTTCATAACAGTACGGTCTAGTATAAAAGATTACAAAATGATTAAAAATGAAAGATGACAAGAGCAATTGAATGGCAAATAGGCAAAAGCTATGCTAATTTTCTATAAAACGCTTATCCTGTCTCGGAGTTTAGGCGGTTTCTACTGTACATGTTTTGTATCTCAAAAATGGGCCTACAAATTTCAAAATCGGTTAATTATTATTTCTTCTTACCTAGCAATAATATGTAATGTAAAAGTATATTGGAAATCTACAGAAATAGAGAGATTTGATAGTTTTATGGTATTGAAAGATATTGAATGGTCAATTATAGTATATAAAATTATATACCTACAAAAAGTTATTTTCTTTCAGAACGATAGGTCATTCTTTTGAAGAACCAACCCGGACAATACCAAGTTTCAATGAAATTTGCTTCAAGGCATATTATAAAAAACCTGTATAAGGTCATTATTTTACTGGTTAAAATGCAAACTTTAATTTACTTGAACATTAAATTCGTTTGATAGCTATTGTGTGTTGTTGTAAATTTAGGGTTTACTTTTTAATTTTCAATATTTCGTAGGTTTAAGGTAGAAACAATCCTTTTATTCCGTTTATTAGACTAAAATACCAAAAATTGTTGTTGACGCACATTTTAAATTTCGAAACAAATAATGTTTTGTTAATTTATCGATACAATATAGCCACATCATATGAGATGAATTTAATAATGCAAACCTTTTCATTCCACTTTAAATCAAGCCAGATTTAACAAATTATGTGTAGGATTTTGGAAATCTTATTTATTCACATTGTATTGGAAATCATATTTTGTCCTATGGATATTCGTTTTTTGTGTTACATGTACATTTATTACGATTTCGTGCTCTCTCCATGCCAGTTTTTTTTTTTTTTTTTTTACATCTTTATATACCTTTTACTCTATCTAAGGATCAAATGATCCAATATTCTTATTTTCTATAGAATAATAGCCAAGTACTTTAAAATGGGGAGGGGATATAATATGTGTCCCTAATTCTGAATTTCATATTAAATAGTTGTATTGCCAGACAAAAAAGAGAAAACAATATCTCTGAATTGTTCGTTTACAAAATTGTTGAAACGAAATCTGCTTTTCCGCGATAAGAATATCAGGAAAATGAAAAAAAAACCAAAAGCATCCCCCTTTTATAAATAAAGTTTATACAATACATTACTTACAAAGTGACTTTTGTTTTTCATCACCGTAACAATTCATTTGTGTCTTGCTTCATGTAGTTACATGTACAGTAATATGTCTATTCAAACTGGACAATGACTTTTAACGTTTATATATCTAGTTTAATCAGAGTTTTATTATACACTATATAGGTGAAATAGGATGTAAGTAATGCAAATCTTGGCAGAAAATACTATTAATTGACGGTATATGAAAAAAGTAAAATCACAAAAATACTGAACTCCGAGGAAAATTCAATCGGAAAGTCCCTAATCACATGGCAAAATCAAATGACAAAACACATCAAACGAATGGACAACAACTGTCATATTCCTGACTTGGTACAGGCATTTTCAAATGTAGAAAATGGTGGATTGAACCTGGTTTTATAGCGCTAAACCTCTCACTTGTACGACAGTCTTATCAAATTCCGTTATAGTTACAACGATGCGTGAACAAAACAGACATTATAAATAAAATAGTCAAAATATGGGTACAGCAGTCATCACTGTGTTACAATATCAAAACAAACAATTATTTACAAAAAAAGCACAAAAGCATCTATCAAATTAAAAACCACATTCATTGCTTCGCGTGTCTGACGTCAGAAAATGTAAACGTCACATAAGAAAAAAGTTTGTCATTCAATTATTATTCAAAACAATTTTATAATTTCACATGGGGAATGTTGGTATACAGGGTTAAAAAATCAAAAGTTATGTTAGAATTAATTTCAGAAATAGACCGAGATTTAAAATTGTCCAGAAGTTCTTTAGAATTTTAAAGAATCCATATATGGTAAATACCACTACGCGAGTAAAATAAATTTGTCGTTTGTCGTTCAAAGTATTTTCAAATTTATAATAGAACAATAACATAATGACATATAATAGAACAATAACATAATGACGGGATAAGACAGATAATGCATATTTTAAGGTTTTTCATGTCGTATAACACATTTCATTTGACCAATCCTGACACCTTTCGATGTGTTATACTTCAAGAAAAACCTTAAAGTATGCATTATCTATATCGTAACTCACCAACATGAAAGCTATTTATTTGTTTGTATCCCTTGTTTTTGACGGAATCATTGACAACATGGATAGTCCTCAGGAGGAATATGTTTGTTCTAAACTACAAAGTACATTTAAAAAGAGGCAGATTTGTCATTACTGTTTTTTGTTTCATACGAAAAGTTTCATTATGTAACTGGGGGTATTCTCTCTCATATATATCGATCATTTGAATTTTGGCTTTGTTTTCTTATTTGTGTTTTTATTTTTTATTTTTATTTTTCTGAGGGTATATCGTGTAAACATTAATATTATGAAGAGTAAATAACGGAAGAAACTTATTCGTCCACTGTCAAAAGTCAAAAGTAAAAAGAGAGTACATTATGTCTAATCCCAAAAACCTGTTGAGCAAGGACATAAACGAAGTTCAAGGAATTTTGTCTTTATGCTTGTCTGTTTGTACCGATAAATTTGGTTCATTTTTAGTGTTACCAGCTTTTCAAAATTATATCAAGGTTTAGAACTTCAAATATTTTGGCATTGGGTATCCTTAAAGAACCATACACTGTCAACATCCGCAGTAAAAATAGCCGAAACAGAACTCACCTGCTCTGAAATAACTGTTTGACCTGTGTATCTTGTTGTCAACAAATTGAAAAGTAGCAGGATCTTTTCCATTGGAGTAGTCTTCAGGAGGAAGGATTCTGTTCATTACTAAGTCTTTCATATTTCAAAAAAGAACATCAATTTCAATAATCAATTTGTCACGAAGATAGAGGTAATAACCTTCAAATAATGAAGGAGGTGTATATGTTTATTATACAACTATGTTGATATCATTTAAAGCAAGTAATAGAAAGGGCGTGTTTAACTACCGTGTATGGTCAAGAGTCAGTATACAACAAATCTAAAGAACATATTAAGGTTGAATATGATTAGAGTTTAATAAAGCTTTAAGTAACTATAAAAGTGTATTATTGAAAACATTTTATAGAATGTGTCTAGAACTCGTGTTTACGTTGCTTACGCGATAGAGTATACAAAACAAAATGAAACCACTTGAATTTGAATGCCTTTTTTGTTTTAAATGATGAAAGTTGCAATCATTGAATGTTGTGGACCTCATTTGTGGAACCCCTTTATCCTCCAATGCACTCGTTTATGGGGCAATACGTTGCATTTAATAAACAAGGTGCAAAGATATAGCTGGTTTCATTCTTTTAAGATATTTTAACTGTCCTGGTATATTAAACTATGTTTAAGACTTTCAAACACTTTTGTTTTAATTAAAGAAATGAGAGATGTCATACTCTTTAGACACATTTATCAAAGTTTGTATTTCAAAAATAGTTTCAGGCATTAACTAATTGCTTTTAAAAATATGTTTAATTGAAATAATAAGCTCCTTTCAACTATCCTTTGTTGGGTAATTTTAAAACAAATCGGCGAGGACGTGGTTATAGCTCTTCTGTGCGATAAAATTGGTATTTCAAATATTGAGATGCACATCAAGGCTTTTCAAATACTTCTTTAAAACAATATTTTAGAATTCATTTGATGAAGTTTTATAGTCATTGAAAAAGATGAGGATCTGAGGTAAAACGTTGAAAATATAATGGCTAATCTAATATTTAACTTTGACAGAATTGTTGTAAAAATTATTTTGATAATGGCAAACATATTTCGACAGGTTTTTGTTTTTGTTTATCTGAAGTGAACGTAAATATGCATGTTGCCTAAGACAAGGGACTGTCACTCAATTAATCAGATCTAGACAATCACTGACTATTTGAGGCTTATCCATTACAAACTCTTAAAATCTCCACGATCCGTTCGATCTATTACGAAGAAACCAATGTCAAAATAAAACCAAATGAGGGAATCGCATAAATTAATACAGAAGGGATACCTGGTGCGCCGAATGGGTTATTCTTGCCTGCCATGCACGCTTCACCCGCCATACGAATCCGAACGCAGTCCACTATTTTGATAATATCATCTTCGGTGTATTTGGCTTTAGGTTCAATGTGGTACTTCACTAGTAAAATTTTTCATGACTTTAAACAAGGAATTTGCATCTAGATAAAAAAAAAAGCTCTATTTAAAGAGACAATTTAGTCAAGCTTACAATTGAACATGGGGAATAGTAGTGTAAAGCGTAGTAACAAAATAAAGTTTTTTACACAATTGTAAATATTCTGAATGGAAGATTGTAAAGTAGATCTTTAGAACTTTAAAAAACCAATTGTTAAATATACCTCATCACAATATTTCGGAAAACAATAGCATACTAAAGATAAATTCATCATAGCTATGAGGATTTAAATTTTGTACGCCAGACGCACGTTTCATCTACAAAAGACTAATTATTGAAGCTGGAACCAAAAAGTAAAAGAGGACATATAAATGACGAGTTTGATGAGCATTGATGACCCTATAATGTGAAAGGTTTTGCCAAATACATAACAAATGTTTTATAAACAGTTAATTTTGACCATATCAATGACCTCCATCAGCAGTGGCATCGATCCAGTGGTTGTAAATAAGCTCATTATAGATACCAGGAGTAAAATTTTGTAAGCCGGACGTGCGTGTCGTCTACAAACGACTCAGCAGTGAAGCTCGAATCGAAAAGGTTAAAAAGGGAAAATAAATTACGAGGTTGCAGAGCATTGAAGACCCAATATTTAAAAAGCTTTTAAAAATACAGCTAAGGTAATCTATTCCTGGGGTAGAAAATCATTAGTATTTCAAACAATTCGAAGTTTTCTAAACAGGAACAACAGTTGTATAATTATGACAACATCAATGATAAATTATGTCATCAAAGAGGAAACCTCCACCAGCAGTACCATCAACCGAATGTACGTAAAAACATTAAGCAAATGTTTAAACAAATAAATTGACGGCCGGCTATAAAGTGTTAAGTACACAGTGTGAACCTTATGTAGATATTACTAGGGGTGTATAACTACCTTGGTAACCCACGAGAGTCTCGCACGGTCAGTTTTTTAAAATACTTAGTATTAAGACTTATGATTTTTATATTCCTTTTTTGTTATTACAACAAGAGAAATTGGGGGATAAGTGATTCTCTAAAAAAAAACTCCTCTTTCAAGAATGATGTAAGTATATATGTTGGATTCCGCTTAGAATCTAACAAAAGACAAAATTGGATCCTAGCCAATGAAATACCCCATGTGTCTAAATGGCATGAGTGTAAAATGATTAACAATTGTAAGAATGAATTGACTGATTAACAGAATATCATATATTCTATTTAAACATTATCTGAGAAATTGAAATTAGTGCCAGTGCCTTTAAGAATATGCATCAATTTATTAAAACTAATGTAAAAGTGCGACTGAGACATGCTGGCTTCTTTGAAAATTGGAAAATGCAATAAAATATTTCTAATTATATACCTAAGAGTCAAAGTTGTATCATCAAATTTCAGGGAAAATCCTACAAATATTACAAATTACTAAGTCATTGTAATGGAATGAATATTTAGATAGAAGGTCGCCAAATGATCAAATGATAATTTTTACCAGCTCTCTAACACAGCGTATAAACTAATCAATTGCTTAAAATTTAGCATATTATAGCCAACATCCATAAAAGAGTAATGATTGTTTGTATAAAAGGCATTCATTATTACCTTTAAATGACATTGTGTACAAAATCAAAAATGCAAAAAATGTTATGCCAAATTATAAGCCATTGTGGTGAAACTAAGAATTCAATTAATAGGTCAACACCTACTCTTCATGATGTCTCTAATAATTACCTTCTGTCATTTTTCAAAAGCCGTTGGGTATTCATCACATTCGTCGGAAGCTTTCTTCACTTTCCCTTTTAAACCGTTATTCCTGAACAACTTAATTTTGGAAACAATTGTTACAAACCCCCGTTTAAACCAATACAAACTTAAAGCTATGATCTCGGATATTGCAAGTCACAACCTTACAGGCCGGTTCGCTTTTGAAAAGATGAAAAGGAGTAAAGATCCATTCTAAAACTTCCCTATGTCAACAAAGGTCTCAATGCCATCATTTGGGCAGTATCCTTCATCATAATACAGTTCACTTGAAAATACATTCCTTCTTTAAAAATCAGTCTGTACTTATAATCAAACCTATTGCAACTAAAATTTTCAATTACAAACACTTGTTTGCAGATCTCAATATTGACGATTTCAAGTCTAAACCTCCTGATTGCACTCGTGTTAGCTCCCTTTTTATAATCCGACTGGCCATGTTTTTACTGACAACCTGGCCATAATTGATAACACTTATCTGCGAAATGTTTTATCCAAAGGCCCGAAATATCGTGAGCCTATGTCCATCAATTGTAAACAAAACTTAAAACTCCTGATGGATTCAGTTGAGTATTATGTCAAGCAATGGGATAATTGCAAAAAAAGAAGACTTAGATACTGTGCCCGAACATGTTAAGATTGTGAGAAATAGAAATTAAAAAAACTGAATGGGTCTATAACAACACTTGCTACATCTATAGATATATTATTAATAGTATTCTCTCATAGAAAAGTACATAAAAATCATATATTCACTTAAACGGCATAACTAAATTTTCATATATTACAAGATGTGACCTACCGTTCAACCGGAAGTAGCAAAAAAAAATCTCTCTTATTTTAGGCAAACGTATATAGATCACACATATTTCTGGAAACAGTGTGAATAAAGCTATGATTTATCGACAATATAAACTTCTAGTAAATCAAATATTTAGAAATTTTATGATGGAATGACCTACAATTGTTCTCTGAACAATTGGTTTTAAATTCTATTTTTGATGTTCTGTTTAAGTTTGTATTTGAAAAAACAACAACCTATGATGAATTGTTTGAAATCATTTGTGTTATTGTCTTTTTATTTCAGATTTATTGAGATAGACGCTGATCGATCTTATTGTGTGTTTATGATTTTTGTTGATAATAAAATTAAAGATGTTGCTGCCTTTATGTGATTCAGCATTTGTTTGCTGATTATTAGTTGTCTATGTTTAAATGAAAAAAGAGATGCGCTTTACTTTAATACAAGAGCAATCCAACGACATAACATATTTTAAAGAGCGGAACAGTTTCATTTTCTCAATACAGTAGAAGACAGATGAACAATGCATGCTCTTTATCTGCTCTTAATATCTAATTTACAACATCATTAATATCTTGTTTCTGTTCCAGTTGTTACACTAAACGAGATTGCAATATTGGCGGCATCTGTTTAGATTTATACTACAATTACAAACACAAATTGCGGTTAAAACATACATTCAGGGTGAAGACCTAATATGATGCGGATATCCTTGACATGAGACAATTAGAAATAATCAATAGATTTTACATGTTTCACCCTAATTATCTCTAGTTTTTATTTACGTTATAGTTAAATCTACAGCAACAAAGTTATGAAAATATCTTGAATGATTTATACAATATATAACAGAGAATAGAAACGGGGAATGTGCCAAAGAGACAACAACCCGACCATAGATGAGAAAACACTGCAAGGCCTCCAATGGGTCTTCAACGCATCGAGAAAGTCCCGAACCCGGCGGGCTCCCGCGAAATAGACACCACACTGAAATCTAAAAAAAAAACGCACAAGACTAAGAAAGGCTTTATGTTTCTGACTTGTTTATACAAGTTT